CACACACACACACACAGAGAGAGAGAGAGAGAGAGAGAGAGAGAGAGAGAGAGAGAGGAGTTGTGACTGGGGCATAGAGTGGCGAGTGGAGTGAGGTGTGGGGTGGGCAGCGGGGGGGGGTGCAGCTTGGGGTGGCTGGTGTGGGCCAGGGCGTGGAGAGTAGAGCAGGGAAAGGGGGGTGCAAGGGAACGAAGTGGGAGGGAAAAAAAAATTAAAAAAAGTAAAAAAAGTGAGATGACAGAAAGAAAAGCCCAAGCTTCGAAATCTCTTTCTGGCCGCTTTTCAGGTGTTTTGGTTCGGTCGGAGTGGTGTTTAACGAACATGTCGTTGACACTTTGTGTGCTCTCTCGTCCTGTTTTTTATTTCTTATCTGTCGAGCAGGATGGGCGGCATGGCAAGGCCTGGGGCGTACTGTATAATGCAGGTGAGATGGAAACCGCGACAACCTGAAAGTCGAACTCGAGTCAAGGCATACTCTCACTTTTTTTTCTTTTTTTCTTTTGTTAATAAGAAACTCAGTTGCCTTATATTGCTTGAAATCGACTCGGGGCCGGGGATCCCCACAATTCAACCCGGAAAGTTACTGACAGCCTCAGCCAGCTTAGCTTACGCTTGAGAGGGAGAGTCCTTAACTAGGCACAGATCCGGTCCCAAGGAGAGACGGTTAACGGGGGCCCAAATATTCGCCTTTTTCGTTGGCAATTGCGGTGCGAATTTCATCAAAAATTTTAAAAACAAACGATATGAGACTATAGTGCAAACATCAAAAAAGGAAATTCAACAAAATGCCAACTTTTTCATTATTGATCCAAACATGTCAAAACTGCACACATGACGTACCCTAAAGCACATGTATATCACACAAAAAGAAAAACAAGAAAAAAAGCAAAAAATCAGCACAATATGACAGTTTCAGTGCAATTCGGTGCAAAAATTTCGAAAATAACACCCCTGGTTAACCACGTGTGGTCCCAAGGACCTGTGCTCTGCAGTCTCCTCTCTGAGCACACTTAAAAAACGTTGGACTGAATGTGTCCACTGTAATGTGCGGTCAGACACATCCAGGAGACTCTGGGTGTGAGTATGCTGCTAATAATCCTAGTCCACTCTGAACAACGAATTCCACTGAATGTCTAGTTTGGGCTACGAATCCCACTGCAATTCAGTGTTTCCGTTCGTTTTTATTTTTTTCGGTGTGTGTGTTACATGCTGCGCCCGGAAACGAGGGGCATTTTCAGGCCCTGGGTCGTTTCAGCCTGAAAGCCTGAAAACAAGGCCCTACAGGCCCTGTGCCGTTTCAGCCTGAAAGGCTGAAAACAAGGGCCTACAGGCCCTGGGTCGTTTCAGCCTAAAACAGGGCCTTTCTGGCCCTGTAAAAGGGCCTTTACCCGAAATAGGCCTCAGGTCTTGTCAAAGTAACGCAACACAGACCTTGTAAAAGTAAAGCATTGTGAAAAGGTATCTCTTTAGGGCTCAGAAACGTGAAAGCAGGTCAAAGGTCAARTTCTCTATCAACAGGCATATCTAAAGCTAAGGCAAAGGGCATTGTCAAAAGACTTACCTGTTCACGAGGAGATGTGTATGTCATGTCTGTTCGGGYAAGAGTGTGTCTGTACGTGCAGGCRGTGTACCTGTTCGTGCAAAGTAAAGTGTCTGTTCAAGCAGTAAATGTGTCTGTTCGTTGAGAGTTGTGCCTGTCCGAAAGTAAAGTCAATAGGCACAGTCCCAGTTCTGGTCTAAGTCCAGGGGTCAGTCCAGATCCAGACTTTCAAGTCCAAATTCAGGCCGGGAGGYCTCAGCAGCAGTTGAACTTCATTGGGACTCTACTGGGACAYATGCAATGCAGGGTCTGGGACAAAAGGAAGGCTGGATTGAGCCAATGCAGACCCAGCGAGKAGTATAAAGGAGGCAGCCAGCCTCATTCCTCGCCAGATCTCCMCTGGCTGTTTCAGCGTGGAAGTGCKGGAGCACTTGTGCGCTAAGTCAGTAGGAGCAGCGCTGGAGGAAGCAGATGCGCTGAGTGAGGGAAGAGGATTGCATGCTGGAAGTGATGCAGCCATAGCTGCCCAGCAAGTTAGCATKAGTASTAGTGGGTTAGTATGTAGCTATGAGTAGTATTCAGAGTAGATMCTCATGAATGAAGKGTGTGTATGCATCGTAGGAGGAAGAGATTGAGGCTGAGAGTGTTCATTCAAGGTTGGGCTATGGAAGATACTTACCTGAGTTGAATGTGGGCTGTAGAGGTGGCGCTGATGGGTAGTGACCACATTGATGACTTGGAGGTTGTCTGCAGGAGTAGCGCTGATTCACTGGAAGTCATATTGATGAGCTGACAAGAGATTGGGGTTGCGCTGATGAGCGCTGGACTCAGGGGAACTTTGAAACACTTTGTATTCATATTTCTGATAATACAAGCTGTGAAACTCGGTCCTCTTCTTCTCTACCTTTGTCTATGGTTGATACTATTGATCGCTGTGTGTGAAGATGATGCATGACATGTACACATCTGTGTGAGATGGTCCCCAGGACCCATGCAAAAATTTGGTATCGGAGCAGATGCTCGCTACTCTCATAGTGCTGGTCTGATCAAGGCCGGCGAGAAGAAGTGGTGATGGAGGAAGAGTGAAGGAGGGAGGAAGAGAAGAAGAGTGTTGATAGTGGGGGAAGCAGGTCAAAGAAGAAGTGACGAAGTTACTTACCTGGACCGTGCGGAGCGTCGTGGAGCACCATCGGTGGTATCTTCAAGAAGAGAGAAGCACCTCCTCTCCCTGAACCTGCATGCATGTGTGTGTCCCCTACCTACTCTCTCTCTGACCCTCTGAAGGTGACTGCGGCTGATCTGGTCAGGAGTCGAAGTCTGGATCTGGGGTGTCATAGCTGTCAGGTCTGAGTCGTCAGAGTCTGGTGACCCAAGGGTGATGTGTTAGGGAATGGTCTCACTAAAGTAGGGGGTCCAGCATTCTGCGAATAGGAGTAGGTCTCTCTCCTATCCCTCTTGATAGGCAGGCTGGGTATCGTCATCAAGAACCAAGGATCGATGTGGGAAGTGGCCATGTGYCACATCAGATAGCATGTACCAGGCAGTATAAGGATGATATTGAGCATCCTCAGGGCCTGTTAAAGCCCGAAAGAAAGAAAAGGGTATACAAAGTATCTCTGCCTGGGTGGGTAAGTGAACCCATTGCATCTGACTCTTCTGCGATATACTCCATATCTGCACCAAGCAACCAGCCAAGTCAGTACACACACAAAAAAAAAAAGAGAAAGCAAGACAACAGAAACACATTACCAAAAGTCCGATCCAGGAGGCCAGACAGCACATCAAAAAATATATATATATATGTCCTCCTCTCTCTCTGCCTACGGTTTTACCAGGCAGTTCTGTTTGTGACGATATATATGTCCTCTTCTCCGTCTCTGCCTACGGTTTACCGGGCAGTTCTATTTGACGATATATAGTTTTATTTGAACTGTTTCGTCGGAGTTTCACCGACTCATCAGGAGGTTGAACCCTCAACAGTCTGTAGAATCCCCTCACTGATTACACTGTAAGTGATAATCCACCTTAACCAAAATCAAAGTAGACTATCACTCACCCA